TCCAATATGGGACAATGTCCCTTGTCAAGGAGGGAGAATCAAAATTTTATTTTTCCCTCCATTTCTCATTCACCCTCTTTTATAGCCCGTTTGGCCAAGCTTCTAAAATCCGCTTATTTTGAGAAGTACTTTTCTTAAAAGTACTTTTTTTAAAAGTGCTTTTGGTGAGAAGCAGTTTGTGTTTGGCTAATTAATTTGAAAAGCACTTTTGAGCAGTAATTAGTGTTTGGCCAAGCTTTTGAAAACTGCTTCTAAGTGTATTTTTCTCAAAAGTGCTTCTCAGAAAAGTGCTTTTGGAGAGAAGCTACTTTTTTCTGCTTCTCCAAAACTGTTTCTGGTTCTCCTCAAAAGCACTTTTTTTCCTTCCAAAAACTTGGCCAAACACCTCAATTTTTGGCCTAAAAAAAATACTTTTGGCCCCAAAAAAAGCTTGGCCAAACAGGCTATTAAGCTCTAAGAAGCTTAAACCCAACAATATATGGGATTGTTGTCATAATTCATCAAAGCTTACCCATATTAAGTGTTATTTTCAAATTTCCGTCTAGTAAATTAGTCTAGACGAAATAATTTGAATCATCAAATGATCTCATTGTACTAGGGTTATTTAAAACCGAACCGTAACCGTTAACTTAACCGAATCGATGGCTTATTGACTTATTTGTATTGGGGTTATCGGGGTAATGGTTGGTGAACTGATTAAGATTTTATAATTAACGGCTTAACGGTTTGGGGGTGGATTACTCAATTTTATTATCGAATAAGCCGTTAACCCATTAAAAAATTTTATATTACACTTTTACCCTTATGTATATAAAGTACTATTGAAGCCCTAACTGACGTTTTGCCACATGACACTTGTCTAACATCCTTTAGCTTTGGTTGATGCTTCGGACTGATGAATTGATGTTCTTGGACACCAGCTGCATGGGGGTAACACATGTAAAGAACCAATTAAGAGTAATCTAATCACCAAACCAAATAGTTGAAATAAGAACAATGAAGTCGCTAAAAGAGGAGATCGTCATATGGAGTCCCATAATGAAAAGGTATAAAAGCCAGTGAACTATGTAGTTTTGATTGATGAGGCCAATCCATCGTCACATGTCAAATTATACCCACACTAACATATACATATCTTTAATTATGCCCATTAACTATATGCAAATCTACCTCCTCTGAAGACTTCTAAAGGATTTACATATAACACGCCACCTAGATGTACATGCTTGATTGTACATAAGTTTCAAATCAGTTTTTAGTCTTCTCTTTTGTTGACATGAAACAGTTAGCCATGTAGCCAAAAGAAATACTTATAATAAGTGCATTAGTGTAGTACAAACTATAAAGTGTTAACTAATTCTATCATGTAGCAACAGATGTTAACAAGTCTGGTAAACTAAAGTGCAGTACATACTAACGAGGGAGTCGAGTCACTTTATCAAGTTTGGCCGTTTGGTAGTCACAAAACTAGGATTATTCAAAAAAAAATTCTATTCGGTTTAGCCAATAAATCACCCGATAATCGTTAATCCTATACCAATCCGCCGGTTGTCTTATTGGATGGCTAGCGGATTACTAAATTACAATCTGATAAGCCGAACCGTTAAACGTAATTATCCTCATGATCCGCCCGATAAGCACCCCTACACCGTACCATAATATAGTGCAGATCATTTTTTATATTTATTTTCATTAAACAAAATATCAAGATTCAAGAAATGATTTTAACTGAACTAAATTACCATTAGAATAAGATAACACATAATTTAGATTACACGTAAAGCATCAAGGTAACAAATAGAATATATCTATATCTATATTATTATAAAAGCATGAATACGATGTTGGAAGACTAAAATAGCCTTAAAATATAACTATATTATTGGATATAATAGTAATATTGTTATTTTCCTTTTTCTTTTGAGATTAGTTGACTTAGGAGAAAGAACGTGTCTCGGAATTCTATTCTAATTGGTTTATGATTTCAAATTAACTTTTCCATCTTTTAGTTTAAGTAGCATTTGAATCGTTCATTATTAGGAGCAATGTAGCTTCAAAGGGTATAAAATACCGACAATATGAGCGGACAAATGAGAGAATGTAAGACACGGGAATTTAATTAAAGTTTTAATAATGTCTAATTTAATTTCAAGAAATAAAATATCTAGAGTATTAGCCGTCCTATTCACTTTCAAGGGAGAGAAGATAGTACAGAGGAATTAATCAATTTATGTTTCTAATTGGTATATTAATATTGTATTTATGTTTGTATAATAATATAGGCTCTTCTTTTTCTAAATGAATTTGGACAATATAAATACATTCTCAAATTTAATTAGTAATAGGACATTATAATACATTTTCAAATTAAATTAGTAATAGGAATTCTTAAGAAATATATTCTAAAAGTAATGGGATTACGTGACTAAAAATATTTACTTGTTCAATTTTAAATGAATTAGACAGCCGAAAGTAATTATACTAATAGGATTCCTAACATTACAAACATAAAGATCTAAAAGTGAAATGTCATATCAATCTTTTACTCTTTGAAATAAAATTTATGGTGGATAAAATTATAATTACGATTAAATGTTCAAAACAAGATATGAACTAATATTAAGACCTAAATCAACGTATAATAAGTTATTTTTTGTGTTTATACCAAATAACTAAGTCTTTTAATTAATTATTTAGCAAGAGAATCCAATTCAATTTTTTTTAAATTTATTATATGAGTAAAATTCTTATTCAAGTTTAAAAAAATCTTAGGGTATATGAATTTATTCCATAAAAAAAGCGCTAGAACACAAAGTAAAAATGTTAGTATATTATTAAGAATCAAAATGCTACACAATTGTCTGAGGAAGCACAATCAAAGCTACATCCTAAACAAGAACAAACTTTCAAGACTATATTATAAAGAGTCGACTCAGGTATAACGGGATTATTCTTTGTAGATGCCTCCGGCGGAATCGAAGTAATATTTCTATGTCATGCATTACTTGCAAACATCATATTAAGAGGCATGACACTCTTAGCAATAATAGCAAGTGGTGTACCAACGATGATTTTATTGCGAGGCCATCTACTTTGGATTTGATATACATCTTAAAACAACTTAACTAACCATCACAAATATAAGCAGAGCAATGGTGCTAAATTTATAAGGAAAGCAAAATTGATAATATGGGATGAAGCACTTATGGCTAAGTGTCAAACGATCGAAATAATTGCCTGGAGTTCTCTCTCTCTCTCTCTCTCTCTCTCTCTCTCTCTCTATATATATATATATATATATATTGAATACTAACGAACCATTTGGCGAAAATTAATAGTTTGAGAGGTGATTTCTGTCAAGTATTATCAGTAGTTCCAAAATCGATAAAAGCATAGACTGTAAAAGCTAGCTTGCCAAAGTTTTACTTCTGGCCCGTACGAAAAAGATTCTACTTACAAGAAATATAAAGTAAGAACAAATCATATTCAATGTCTACTTGCTTTGTGTCGAAAACGAAGAAGAGCATCCAATAAAAGATGATTTGGTTCTTCCTAAAAACTTGATTTTCAATCGTAATGGTAATGGTAGTGCATTTAATAAGAGAAATGTTTCTATCACTAGATTAAATGCAATCTGTGCAAATCGCATGATAGAATTAAAAAGATATCTTATCTAGCACAAATGAATATGTTGATCAACTAAATAAATGATTGATTGCCAAATTTTATTGTAAAAAAAATGTTTTTCAGTTTTTGACTCAGCAAAAAATGATAACAATAATTATTACCAAGAAGAATATTTAAATACTTTAATACCAAATGGCCTTCTACCATACATGTTTGTTGTCAAGTTTCTTATTTCTTATGTATGTTAGTATCACCATATATATAATAGACTAAGTTAAAATTTATTTTCCATTGTATATAGGTTAACTTTGAAGAAAAATATGCCCATCATGCTACTGAAAGACTTAGATACGACGAATAGCTTATGCAATAGTACACAGATGGTATATAGAAGTTTTGACAAAAATTATGATACTGGTTAATGTGTTTCTAAGTATATTCTTATCTGTGAATTAAACTTTAGTCTTCCGAAATTAAGGAATATCCTTTTGAATTTGTGTGAAAATAATTTTTAGTATGTTTATGTTTTGCAAATATAATAAATAAAGTAAAAGGACAAACATCCTAAATATTGGACTATATTTAACACAATATATATGTTGTACTTTCAAGCGGGATATTAAGATCGACAACAAGAGTTCTGGTTAAGGCAGAGCAACAAACGCATTAGGAGGAAACATACACAAAAAAATATTGTTCACAAAAAAGTGTTCGTTAAGATACCATCACATTAAATAGTTTTAAACTATAATATATAATTATGTAACTAACATGACAAAATTACATTTGTGTAAGTTTTATTTTAAATTCATGTATTATGCTAATGTAATTATATTTTTTGGCATTTCGATGATTGTTGTATTATTATAAAATTTCTCACATTAATAAAATTTTATTGTTCTTTTATATAAATAAATCTTTAAATCATCACGTACCGTTATTAACGTGCAACGCACGTTCATAGATACTAGTAATACTAAAAGAGTCCAGCCTTCCATCACTATCAGATTTGACAAATATTTTGTCTCAATAAAATACCCAAAAATGATTTGTAAAATTATTTTTATCTAATTACCTACACCAAATGACCAAACCGGGCCTATTAGTATACTAACCAAGTCAATACAACTAATGGTGTATGACTATTGAATAGGGTGCATAAAATATCTTTTCAGTTTAAACAATTGCCCTACAAAAAATCCTTTTTTTTTTTTTTTGGCCTTTTGGTTAAAATGAAAAATATAAAAAAGAAACAGAAAAATGTCCCATAAAAAGAAAAATCACGAACCGAAGTTCCGTTGACCACCGCGCCATACTATAATTCTATTTCATCCAACGGCCAAGAATGAGCAAGTTGTAATCGAAGGCCCAGATATTTTTGGGCTATTTATTGAAGTTAGCCTTCATCTTCTAAAACCCTTCGGTGGGGATAGCGAACGAAGAAGTGTGCTTCTGTGCATCATTCCAGCAAAGGTAAGTTTTTTCTGCTTCCTTCAGTTAATATTATAGTACTCGTCAGCTTGGTCTTTAACGAATTAATTGTTCAGATTTTTAGAATTTCTATCTGTTTCTTTTGTTGTACTGCTTCTTTAGCTTTTATAAGATTAGGGTTTTTACCGTTTTTGATATGTGTTGCGTGATCACGATTGCTATAACAAATTCGTGGTGTTTTTTGGATGTTTTGGATTCTTTTATTTTATGCCCGCATATCGTACGGCAAATATCGAGCATAGATGTAAATGAGCTCAGAAAAGTATCTTTTTTGACTTTTAATTGATGCTTCTAGTATTGATCATTGAAAGGAAAAAGGATCTTTTTTTAATATGGGTCTGTAATGTTTATTTTTAGATTGAATTTGTGATGCTGACTCTATACTCTTTTGTTTTTACTAGGTTTAAAGATGGCTTTTTTCAATAGAGTTGGGAGTATTCTTAAACAGAGTGTAAGCAAACACTCAAACTTGGAACTCTCTCCCTCAAATGCGTCGCTTTTCCAGGCTATAAGAAGCATGTCTTCGTCTAAGCTTTTTGTTGGGGGTGAGAGGATCTTGTCTTTGTGCTATTGATTTTTCAACTTCTTGTGGTTACTCTATAACGGCTTATTGTCCCCTACAGGTCTCTCATATGGCACTGATGAGAGCTCTCTGAAGGAGGCATTTTCCCAATACGGTGATGTGATCGAAGGTACTAGAGGTTATTATTCTGCATTGGTCGATTTAAATTTTAGTAATGCACTGTATTTAAAAAACAAGGAACCACTGTATAGTTGCAGCATTAGCTAATACCAAAAGATCACAAGAAGCAGAATAATGCTGCCGTGATCACCAACAGAAGCGCTCACAGAAGATCACATTTGTTAAGGGATAGTGAATATGCGGAATACACAATTCTCTTTCATTGTTTTGAAATTAGTTATGAAGTTGGAGTTCAATTTTTTATTGATGAAACAAGAAGTGTTTGGTCTGAATTGGACATGTTTCCTTATCAATTTAGTTCTTGGTGAAACTATAAACTCGATGGTGAAATGACCTATGAGACAGATTCGTGTATGCTGCATCTCTGAAATTTCTTCCTGAAGCTGGCTTCTTTTGCTGTGTGTTGTTTAGTTGAACTTTGAAATAAACTATTTGCTCTTCCTTTGCAGCTAGAGTTATTATGGATCGTGATACTGGGAGGTCCAGAGGTTTTGGTTTTATCAGTTTTCCATCAAGTGAAGAAGCAGCAAGTGCATTGCAGGCCATGGATGGCCAGGTATGATGATACTTCTAGTTGGAAAATTATGCTTGTGAACACAAATTGCATAGGTTTTAATCAATATCCAAAAACTAGAGAACTTGAATAGACCAAAATATGGATTTCATAGGAAAGGGACACTTTTTACGTGTAATACATAGTTCAGAGGACAACATTTCACCCAGAACTTTAGTTACCAAATTCCTATGTGACGACACTTTGTACCTTAACACCTTTCATCTTGTTTATTCAATTCATGGGGTAATTCTCATTATCAATTTTACATAGTAAGGTTATTTGTAGAGAGAGAGAGAGAGAGAGAGAGAGAGAGAGTCCTCTAGCAAATCGTACCGCTTGTATTTTGGCTCGCTTGAATATACTTACAACTTACCTTTTACCCCTCTCCCACCGTACCTCGTGTCAAATTCCATCTTGTGTTGGCCAATATCTGTGATATTGCCTGCAATAAATGTTGTCACAGGTCAATTTTGTAATTTTTTGTAATTGTGTCAAGGTAATTTATGCTGTGTAAACTTTTTCAGGATCTTCATGGAAGACGGATAAGGGTGAATTATGCCACAGAAAAGCCTCGTACTGGATTTGGAGGTGGCTATGGTGGAGGTGGTGGTGGATTTAACTACGGTAGTGAAGGTGGAAATTTTGCAGGTGGTGGAGGTTATGCAGCCAGCAATTATGGAAGTGGAGGAGGTGGCTATGGTAACAGTACTGGCTTTAACTATGGTGGGGAAGGTGGAAATTCTGCAGGCGCTGGAGGTTACCCAACCAGCAATTACGGTGGTGGATTTTCTGGCGGTAACAGTTCTGCTGGTGGATACGGTAGTTATGGAGGTGGCACTAACTATGGAAATGACAACAGCTCTCCTGTTGAGGGTGGTAACTACGGCGGAGGTGTTGGGTATGGCAGTGGTAACTATGGAAACACTCCGAACAGCAATTATTCCAGTCAAGGCAATAACTTTTCAGGTGGTTATGACGGTGGAAACAGTGGAAATGGCTTTGGTGAGAGCCCCGGAGCATCATTTAATGGAGGTCAAGAACAGGTCAGTGTAGATCAAGGGACTCAACCTATAAATGAAGATATTGGACAGGAGACATCAGAAGGAAATTATGATGAGCCAAAGGATTTCGCCAATACTAGGGGTTGAAAAGAAAGTGCTTGGCGTCTATTGTGTTTGAGGGACTTGCTTCAAGAGAATGTCTAGGATATATGTTTTGAGTCATGCGTGAATAAAATGTCATCCATTTCTAACAGTGTTCATGTGTTGATTACACTTGTCTAGTTTTATGAATTTGTAGGCTTAAATATTTCTTCTCTTCACCTTTCTTATTTCGTCAATGGCTCTCTTTTTCTCCGTATTAATAATATACTCATATTGTTATATTGTTGATGAATTGATCATGCCCAATTCAATTGAAATAGAAATATGCGTATTACAAATACTATTAGCAATATCTGTATGAAGGGCGAACGAATGAGAAAATCGTCCTTTGAACTGTTATTCTTTTATTTTAACGTTATCGTATTATTTGTAGTAATTCATTTCTAGCGAGTTGGTAATACAATTGTAAAAAAGTGCAAAAATTACTTTTCATTTTCAGAATAATGGTATTTCATTAGTTCAGTAGAGGAAACCAACCAGCCAATTCCAAAACTTCGTACAAACATACATTTCAGTCTTTTATCGTCACCAGAGATTCAGAAGTTATGGGGTTTCTGTAGTATCTTTTAAACAGCACAAAATGGTTTTGGAGCTGCTACTACATCTGACCGGCCTTTGAAATACCCATACTGCATCAGCAATAACACCGAAGTCTGGAGTGGACTACTTGTACAATACGATTTGATTAAATGAAATATGAATTATAACAGCAAGCTGGAATAGCTCAGTTGGTTAGAGCGTGTGGCTGTTAACCACAAGGTCGGAGGTTCAAGCCCTCCTTCTAGCGTTCTTTAATTATTTTGCCTCCTTTTTTTATTTTTTTGCTTGGGCGCATTGTCGTACAGTCAACCCTCTCTATAACAATCTCGTTTGTTCCGATATCTTTTTACTTTTATAGTAAATGGCTATTGTACACCGATAACAATATTTAGTGTTTAAATATTTTTTATAGATAAAAATTATTCAAAAATCAATTAATTTCCCTTTTAATGTTACATATAAAAGATAAGTAAATTATTCAAATTTAAAATCTAAAACAAAAATATGCATATTTCGCCAATTAAATATTGAAGAAAGCTAATACGTTATTAATAAATTCATAACTAAATGTATAAATATTTAAACTCTAAGGCAGACATTTTAAAGCTACTTAGAAAAATAAATTCTTTCAAGATTGATAGAAGAACTTTATAATTGTAGCTTTTTTCATAGATTTTATTCTCTTACTAGCGACATAACGCTTGAATTGGCCAAGATGCATGTCCAATTTTTCAGCAAAAAGGTATCCAATAGCTTTCCCTTGAAGAAAATCTAAGAGCTTCACGGTTAAATTTTCTATCTATATATATTTTAATGAAAAAGATATCATTTGCAAATCTTATATCTTATGCGAGATAGAAACTTTAATTTGTTAATCTTAATGATTATATATGACTGTTATAGAGTGGTAATTTTACAAAGACCGTTTTACTATAAATATGGTTGTTGTTATAGGTGAAAGTTGTTATAGAGAAGTAAAACATAACTTAAGAAATCGGTTTTGAGGAAAACATGACTTTTATAATAAATAATTAATATATAGGGATGATGTTATTGAGAGATCTGACTACATTTGATTTTGAAATTATTCACACAATTATTCTTTTTTGAAAAACAAGATGGAAATACGTTATTTTCAGTCCACAACGAACACCTTCTCAAATTGTTAGTCCTCTTTTTCCATTCAAGTACCCAATTTTTGTTTCTTGTTGTTGTTTTTTTTTTTTTTTTTTTTTTTTTTTTTTTTTTTTTTTTTTTTTTTTTTTTTTTTTTTTTTTTTTTTTTTTTTTTTTTTTTTTTTTTTTTTTTTTTGTTGCTTTAATCTAACATTTACGAATTTTGTTCTTTCCTATTCTATAATATGGTCATTGCAGTTTAAGAATCTCACAACTCAAGTAGTGAAATATACTGTATTTGTCAATTAATTCTTTTATTTATGTATATGTTCATTTGAATTTTTTTTAAAATAGATTACATTATCAAATTTTCTGCACATTAGAAATTCATTGTTTATTTTATCACATTAGCACTCTATATCTCTATATATTATTTTAAATATGATAATGAAAGTAAATATTTCAGAAATTAGAGAAAAAAGGGCGAAGAAGAAGGGGATATTTACACAAATAGTCGGTCAAATTTACTGATTCTTTTCTCTATCCAGTACATATAAATTATACACATATTACATATAAATTATACATGTATAATATATTCCTCTTCTATTTTTATTTGGGATTTTTACCTTCCTATACGATATATGAAACTTTATCACACTCCCTAATCAAATTTTAACTTAATTACATAGGCATGTACAATTTACCAATTATATACACATTAGTTTTAAATAAGTTTCTCTTTATACTAGGAATTGAATAGGGAATCACCATCCCTGCTCTCTCTCTCTCTCTCTCTCTCTCTCTCTCTCTCTCTCTCTCTCTCTCTCTCTTCTCTGCTTTTCATCCCTTTTTTCCAGGAAATTCATCAATGAATTTCAATTGTTATAATATAGAATTTTAACTTAGCAATTTCCTTCATGTTGCACAATTGGTGTTCGAATTGAAATTGTCAATCAATAAATTTTGAAGGTATTTGATTCTCCACCATTGACAGCCATTTAAAAGCTCTGAGGCTTTGAATTCGAATTTGGATTTTCAAAAACTATTATTTGCTTGGATTGGGTGTTGTTGCAAACAGTTGGAAATATTCTTTGGAGTTTTTATCTCAATTTTGAGGGAGTTTGGTGAAGATTAGACTTGATTTTGGCTGAATTTCAAATTGAAAATTGAAGAAAAAGAAAAAGAACACATAACATACAATAGTTACGAATTTGTATTAAAGTTGTATTATAGTTGTATGTAATTTGTATTTAAATTATATTCTATTGTAGTTATATATTTTTTTTATTTGAATGTTGTATGAAAGTTGAAAAATAGTTTTATAATGTATGAATCATTGTGAAATTTATATTTAAGTTATAAATACTATCTTTCTACATAAAGTTGTTTATATGTCAAAATTATATTGAAAGATGAGGTTTAGATTGGAATTTCAGAGAGGAAGAAGAACACACCACATATAAAATATATACAAATCATATACAAAATACATATTGTATAAAAAATGTATGAAAATTATATTTAAATTTTATAATATTGTAGTTGTATTTAACTGGGTAAGAATAATGTATGAAAGGTATAGATACGTTGTAAATAAGTTGTATACTGTATAATCAGTTGTTCTTCTTCCGCAGACATTTTTACTTTTCTCTAAAATCTGTATATGAACATCATTAGTCCAAAGTGAAAAACGAAATAAATTCATGAACTCAAAATGGATTCAAAATTAGCAAAGATTATCTTGAATTAACAAATATTGAGTAGTCAAGGCATAGGTATTTTGACATTACAGTAAGGCCTCGTGTTTAATAGACATGAAGTAGTTAGGTGATCTGTAAAGTATTTATGTGAATATTTGATGCAATTCTCGTGCAAGACAAGTCGGAAATTGACGGCACAAGAAAGCATTTTTACTTAGTGGCTTCATGATTTTTGCTTTGAAGTAGATGCGAAGTATCCCATTAAATTTCTGTAAATGAATCCCGTAAAACTAAAATTGATTGTGTAACAAAATTCCATAATTTGAGGTAGTAATAATAAATTGTACATGGAGAGAGGCGGCAAAGAATATGGAAAGAGGAGAGGAGAGAAAAAAGGAAAGGGTGTAACTGTTTGACCAAAAAGCATACTACTCTTTGTTAAACTAATTTAATGATAACTGAGGTGAAAGGTGAATCCTAGTCAAGTATAATAATTCCTAGATCTAGTTTAGAGTTTGGGTGACACCGTTTACCAAATGCCCATAATCGTATATCCAGTCATTAAATGCACACTTTAGGGAGTAAATGAAGAATGAATAAAGAGCAATAAATATGAGAAGTGACAATAAATGTAAATAGGAAGAACAATTCACCCAAGTATCAAATGATGTGGAAGATTCTTCGTTCTGACAACGAAGTATGGCAGTAAACAAGAATATGAGTAATGCTTTCTTGGATCACGTGAGTAGAAAAGAAGGATAATCGATAAAATCAATCACTATGGAAAGGTAAACTTTGTATTTTATCTCAATGGTCCACTTCTTACAATAGTTTTCTCAGATTCAATCTCACGTGCCCCTTTTCTTCTCTCTCTCTCTCTCTCTCTCTCTCTCTCTCTCTCTCTCTCTCTCTCTCTCTCTCTCTCTCTCTTTCTATTTATATGGGATATTCTCTAAAGACCCTAAAAAGTACAACAAAAGGAACATTCAGGATAATATTCATGTCACTCGTTCCAAGACTATACTAGCCACTATTCCTATTCTTCGTTATTCGACCTCGACCTCTACGACTCACTTGGCGACTGCTCGTTGTTGGGCTTTGGTCGACCTCGTCTTATTTGCCCAAATCGGAACACAGTCTTTTCACCTTACGATCTTTCCATGCCCAACTTCCTCAGCAAGATTTTGACCCATACAGTTAGTCCCTCCGCTTGTCGGGATCGCCTTCTGGTCAGCCCCGATGAGTGGACCTTTTCAGTCGAAGATTTGTGAAGAAATTTTTGGCATGGTGATCGAGTGGAGGTGTTCGTTGCCGAAGCAATGATGTGTCGTTTTGAGATTCGTGGGTCATGGCGTTGGTACAGGATGACGTCACAACGCACGTCATCATTGCGCATCTTCCCGATGCGTTGCCTCGTTCCTCGAGTCCCTGTCATTTCGATAGTAGGGCCACTGGAGGTTGCTTGCATCGATTCGAATTCCCCTGAGGTCTATAAATAAAGAGGGGGAAATTTCTCAAAGAAACTTTTGCACTCTTCGAGTTTCTTCAGCCCTGCACTTGCTTCCTCTTCTCCTTCATGTGTTCTTGCTTCCTGTAACCGATGCCATTGCCACCCCTTCTTCATTTTCTGTCTCCTTATATACACACCGTCGGAAAATGGCTAACGTAACCCCCAACGCTAAGATAGTTTCCGACCCTAATCCATTATCGGTGGTAATGCCTTCTGGTGGTGGAGAATCAACGGTGGTAGAGGATGAAAGCTTTCCCACTGTGGAGGAGATCATTCCTCGTAACCCTACTTCCAAGTCTGACTTCTCTAAGGAACCCACCGTTGAACCGGAGTCTGCGAAGTCGGAGATGGAAGCGAAACACCT